GAGCACTGGGTGTTACACACAAACAATGAATCATGGAACACTACATCAAAAACTAATGATGTAATGTATGGTGATTAACATAACAATAAAAAAATCCCCTCTGCCGTTCTCATCAATAAACCACAGTAAGACTGGTCTCCCTATTAGAAGAGTTACTGAGGGAACACAGAAATGGTTGCACTGTACATTATCCCTTATGAATAGCAGTGTCATCAATTCAATCTAGAATCAGATCATTTAACAGCAGGAACCAAGCTCACTTGCTACATCGAAAACTTTAAATGTTGACACATGTGGTATTCGGGGAAAGTGTACCTACAGGCATTTAATATGAAGGGTCACTCATTACTCTTGATTTAATAATGACTACAGAACAAAACAGTCACAAATATAATAGCAAATAATTTCCTATAGCCACATTTTTCTTTCTTTCTTTCTTTCTTTCTCTTTCTTTCTTTCTTTCTCTCTCTCTCTCTCTCCTTCCTTCCTTCCTTCCTTCCTTCCTTCCTTCCTTCCTTAACCTTGCAGATCTGTTTTCCATCTGTCTGACTGGATCACCTCCCATCCCTGTTCAGTGACAGAATAATACACAAGTACTGGCGGGTAGCAGGGAGTTCCTAGAAGATACTGGGGTAGACATTACAGAGCCTAAAGACATCTGTGGCTTTGCAACTGATTAATGGTCTTTGGGGATTGATCAAAGTGCTTTTTCAGTGAAATATTAGCCTACAAATGCTATGAGTAAGGAATAATATGTTTATAGTCACTGTAAAATAAAGTCAAAGTTAATTTCAGAACGCTGGGTTCTGTGAGTAACAGCTAAACAAAACCTGAAAACGACACGAAGAACCCGTGAGAATAAAGGGACCACTGGATGTGAACGCAGTGGGTTTAATCCCTAGAGTTTTAATTATGCGGGAGTGTTGGAGTTAGCACGACTCCGTGATTTGGAGCCTGGTGGAAAGGGAGAGGATTTTTGTACTTGTCTAACTGAATAGCACATTCTTTTCCTATAAAGAACGATGAAAGCGTTGACTGAAACAGTGACCGGCTTGCACAAGATGGTAAAAGTCAAGAGCTGGGAGGATCACGGACGCCAGCAACAAATGCCAGAGCAGATGTTAGAGCCAAAATGAAATGAATAATATTCATTTTATAGCTAATGTTTCCTGAGAGCATACTATGCACTGGGCACTGTGTTAAACTGTATTTATATGCATTATCTTCAACAACCCTATCATTCCCTTTTCACATATGAGAAAATGGAAGCGTAGAGGAGTTAAGAAAATTTGCCCAAAGGCGCAGAAGGAGTTGATTAGTGGCTTCTAGATTAAAACCCAAGTAGTGTGATTCTAAAGCCCAGGCGTTTAAACCACTATGCACCTCCTATGTTGCCCCAGGCATTTGGCCACCACAAGTCTAGCACCAACGTTAACTATCGCTATTAGGTATCAAATATTGGGGCCTGGGGGTAGGCCTGGTTGAATTCTGGTCCTGCCACTTGGATCTTGAACAGAATTTAATCTTCCTGAGTTTCAGTTTTCCCATCGGTGAAAAGGAGATGATACTACCTACCACACGTGGTTGGTAGGAGGATTAAAGGACCGAATTTAAGTGAAATATTTCACTGGGGAGTACAAAGACGAGGAAATGTTCCAAGTGATGAGTGATAATTCTTCTTGAGGTTTCACATCATAAAAAGAAGCATTTGTGGGGCACCTGGGTGGCTCAGCCGTTAAGCGTCTGCCTTCGGCTCAGGTCATGATCCCAGGGTCCTGGGATCGAGCCCCACATCGGGCTCCCTGCTCCGCGGGAAGCCTGCTCCTCCCTCTCCCACTCCCCCTGCTTGTGTTCCCTCTCTCTGTGTCAAATAAATAAATAAAATCTTTAAAAAAAAAAAAAGGAAGCATTTGCATTTTGCTCTCATTTGCCTCCAATCTTGACAGTCCCTTACCTTGTTTTTATCCTGTGTGTCCACTTCTCCTGCTGCCATAAACTTCAGCAGAAGCGCCAAACACTTAGGGCTCTTGTGCCGGGTGGTCAAGTGCAAAGGGGTCATCTCTTCCAGATCCTTTTGCATCCAGTTTGCTCGGCGTGTAAGTAAGAGTTTCATGAAACGATAATTTCCCTAAATAAAAAATAAGAGACGGTAAGAAGAAATGTAATCTGGGGCCAAGACATTTTCCAAATTTTAAAATGTTTTCAGTATTTTAACTGTTCTGCTAGAGTAACAATATTCAGACAAATTGACCAAAGGAAAAATACTTATAATTCCATTACTCCATCAATTGTTTTCCTTTTTCATCTTCCTTTTCAACCACTTCCTAGTGGTTTACACAGTGGCTAGTTAAGGTTTCATTGTGTTAAAGCACCGTCTTTCTTTTATTTAACTGTTCTATTATCGTTTTCAATATTTTCTAGAAAATGCTACAATGCACTTTTATTTCCACATGGTTTTTCTTAATGTTTTCATAAGAAAAAATTATCAGGAACCAATTTACTGGGTCAAAGGAGTTTGCACATTTCATGGTTTCTGGCGTATTTTCCAAATTGCTATCTAGTAGCAGCAATGAGATTCAGCTCATTCTGAACAATATATCACCTATTATTCATATGCCAAGTATAATAACCTTGTGAAATGAGTGGAGATATAAAACCCCAATTCACAGGTGAAGGGACTGAGATTCACAGGGGTTGAATGCTTTGTTCACCGTCATCTGGTCAATAAAGTAGGTGGTTAGTTTTCTTGGTGAGAGCAATGTACAGATAAAACTGAGATAGATGCATCTTGTTCAAAGTCTGGGTCCCAGACTCATCCTGTCACCTAAACACCAACCCAGAAGTCACTTCAGGCCACCCACTTGTAGGCAATACTCTCCACGTCGTTAAACCCTCCAATCCAGTAGAATCAACCCATCCAGAGAAAGCAGTTTAGCTAAAGGGACTAGAGCAATACCCTGGTGGGGATCCAGGTCAACCGTAATATGGGAGCTTTGAAACAAAACAAAACCTTCAAAAACTAGTTCTTTGCGAGTTCCTTCCTGAAACCTAGTCCCATGTTTCCGATTCTGGTTGGAGCCTTCAGTTCGCTTGGTACCAGGATACGTGAAATTTGACAAGACCAAACTGTATGGCAGGATCAAGTTCTGTGCCTGCTTCAGGCCTACTTATTTCTCCCTATTCAAAGCAGAATGGCAGTCAGGGTTATCTGTCCTTTTCATCTTCTGAGAGCCTCTACATCCTTAACTTTGCTGGAAATGTGGGTTTTTTTTTAAGCATTATAATGCACTGATATTCTACCCTGAGTGGCTATTAGTATTAGCAAAAAGACATTTATTAGTTAAGCAGCAACCACCACATTGTGACAAATGTTGAGTCTTAACCAACTGAGCCACCCAGGCGCCCAGTGACAAATGTGAGTCTTAGGCAAAGGGGATCAGTTAGAGAGTCAGTGAGGTGCAGAAGGATGATGACTTGTCTGCTAACCCACAGGGGCGGAGACAGGATTCAACTCAGCTCAAGGGCTGGGCCACAGAGAAGAATCAGAAGCTACAAAAGCTTCCATTAGGCTGTCTATATTAGATGGGCAGACTTGCGATGGACCAAAAAGCCCAGTGACTCAGCTCAATTATTTCCTCTCAGGGAGGTTTTCCTTGACCACCCTAATGGAACTTTTTTGGTTATGCTTTATTCTAGTACCTTCCCATTTCCTTCATAGTACTTTGCTCAGTTTGTAGTTACATATATATTTGCTTATTTCCCTTCACTGGGATCTCTGTGACAATCTGTAAGCATCATGAAGGCAGAGACTATGTTTTATTGAGCGTTGTCCTTGGCATAGCTCCTGGCACAACACAAGTGCTTACTTGAAGGACAGAGTGAATGAGAGGAAAGAAAATATCTTCCAGAGGTTTTTCTTTTTGTTTAAAAATTTTTAATGTTGCTATATCAGATCATAGTAGCTAAGAATCCTAATTCTCAGATCTCTGGTATTCGGTTACTCTAACTTTTTAATGTTTTATCTATTTGGGCATCATTCATCTGGCTTTCTGATGTCATCCAGTGCCAGCTTTCGAGAGGTAAGTGCTAGAATTTCCTCAAGAGGGCACCCTGCTCTAAATCTCTTGCCATCTTCTCTTTGAAAAAAGAAATGATGCCCAGGAAAAACAAATCTATATGGTACTTCTTACCAAAAAATAAGGCTTGACCTTTCTGAGCATAACATTTCAAATCTTACAGAATAATTCATCATGACCTTTTAAAGATATTCAATCAGACAATCATTTTGATTCTGAAATTTAGAGGAAAAGGGAAGGAAAAGAAAGAAACAGGAATATGTTGGTGGGGGTGACTACTGACTTACAGATGCAATGCTTACATTGTTCTGAGGATTCAGCCTATACAAAGCACGATGTACTCAGTAATCATATTTATTTATTCTTTTACTCAAAAAACACTCATTGAGCCCTGTCTGAAGCAGGCAACCTGGTAAAATGTTTACACTAAGCTTTACTTATCACAAAGCTCTTAGACATAGATTCTATCTTTGCTCCTCACAGAAGTTACATGGAAGACTACATCAAAAACTAATGATGTAATGTATGGTGATGAACATAATAAAAAAAAAAAGATTAAAAAAAAAAGAAGTTACATGGAAAGGGTTTATAGACAAAATAAAGTATCTTCCTGGGCCTCCATTTCCTCCTTTGCAAAATAGGGGTAATAGTACCTGAGATTATTGTGCATATGAAAAGGATAAAGATCATATTTGTAAAGTACTTAGAACAGTGCACAAAGCAAGCACCTGGTAAATGTTTGCTTGTTTTGTTATGAACAATTTTCCAGTGTGGAGGAGGCAACAAAATGTAGCCGGTCAAGTAGAACCAAGAATGGCCCATGATGGAGAGCATACATATAGAAAGATCTGACTGTACATAGCATACACACTTCAGCTGGTGATTATGGAGAGACCCAAGGTTAGGGACAAGTAAAAGTAAAAATAGTTGGAATGTTATAAATAGTGGTTTTCTGAAAATTTTTTTTTTACATTGAGAAAGATGCCTATACTCTGCCTCCAGATAATGATGACATAGGACCAATAAGGGCAAACCCAGCAGGAATTCAGCTGGAACCCTGAGATGTCAGCTTCTGTTCCAAAGGACAGAGACACAAAAGAGATATTATCTACAAATGCTGGGACTAGAAACACTATAATCCATTTGGACCATGGTCAACTTCCCGGTCTCATGAACAAGCATTTATTAAATGCCCAGGTATGCAAACTCAATTCTGAAAATAAGCAGAGGGGACAGAGAACTCTAAGATCTAAAATCAGGAGAATATTTCTAGTGTCAGTGGAAAAGGGGTATATACCAGTTTGAGACAGCAAGCTAATGTGATAACTCTCTGAAGGTTGTTATGACTCTGGGGACCCATATCACAGAAAATTTTTCTTCCTATAAAGCCCTCTCAATACAAAACCAACCAAACAAAATGTCTAAATGTCTCCTCAATATTGCTTGAAATTCAGAATTCTTAAGTTTTCTGGTTGATTCTTAAATGCAAGAATAAGGAGGATTTGGAAGTTAATCATTTAGCACCATCTCTTAGGGGCACACAGAACCTGATCCTGAGATGAACACTGTTTTGGGATCCGCTTTTATAATTTCTGATTGAGTAGAAAACAGTATAAAAGTGAAGGAGGGGCGCCTGGGTGGCTCAGTCGTTAAGCGTCTGCCTTTGGCTCAGGTCATGATCCCAAAGTTCTGGGATCGAGCCCCACATCGGGCTCCCCGCTCAGTGGGAAGCCTGCTTCTCCCTCTTCCACTCCCCCTGCTTGTGTTCTCTTTCTCACTGTCTTGCTCTCTGTCAAGTAAATAAATAAAATCTTAAAAAAAAAAAAGAATGAAAGAGATAAAAGATCGAAAGAGTATATATTCTTTTTTTTTTTTTAAAAATCTTATTTATTTGAAAGAGAGGGAGAGAGAGCACAAGCTGTGGGGGGTGGGGGGTAGAGGGAGAGGGAGGAGTAGATTCCCCACTGAGCAGGGAGCCATCGTGGGTCTCGATCCCTGGACCCTGGGATCATGACCTGAGCTGAAGGCAGAAGTTTAACCGACTAAGCCACCCAGGCACCCCAAGAAGTGTATATTCTTTTTTTTTTTTAGATTTTATTTATTTATTTGACAGAGAGAGACACAGTGAGAGAGGGAACATGAGCAGGGGAGGGAGAGTGGGAGAAGCAGGCTTCCCGCTGAGCAGGGAGCCTGATGCGGGGCTCGATCCCAGGACCCCGGGATCATGACCTGAGCCGAAGGCAGACACTTAACGACTGAGTCACCCAGGCACCCCAGGAGTATATATTCTTAAGAAAACTGGTGGTAGTGAGCACAAGTAAGAGAGGTGAAGTTATAGAAAAGTCCTGATTTAGTCACTGAAAGGACATTAACCCTGATGTGATCAGGTCTGTTATGCCACTGAAATGAGAAAACATTTACTAATGTTTCTGAAACATTGAATAAGATGTTTTTGTTTTGTTAGGTAGCCATAATCCTCATCTTCCCATAATTAACAAGAGCTTCTTTTGTCTGTAATGTAAATGATGATAACATTTGGTTTCCCCCTAATGCATGAAAAGGACTATAATATCTGCCTACTTGTGCTCTCTCTGTCAAATAAATAAATAAAATCTTAAAAAAAAAAAAAGACTATAGTATCTAATAGTGTAAAAGAGCATGAAAAAGTTCCTGACCCAGAGAACAGCACTTGAAAGGAGTCTGGGAAACAAATCAATCCAAAATGCTACTTTTAATCTTATATTTTTTTGTCTGTCCAGTTCTCTAAAATGGACTTTAGAAAAAGCATATAGTCAGTTGATCTTAATAATAATATAGTTTTGAGTGAAATACCTTGATATTTTCCTTTAGATTTTTTATTTTTAAGAAATAAAATATAACAGATACAGTTGATGCTCCCTTTGTGCTCCTCTCCAATTCCACTACCTTCTCTCCCTTTCTAGAGACTACTGTCCTGAAAAAGGTGTTTATCATTTCAATGAAGGCTTTAATACTTCTGCTTCTTACACATATATGTATCCATAAGCTACACAGTATCGCTTTAATGTTTTCA